AGAAAAATGCTGTTTTTTACAGGACTTCCTTGACTGTCCATTGGATAAGACTCTGTACTCCCAAGTATAGCAGGTCAGGGAACTAGATCCCACATGCCACAACTACAAACTGGTGCAGCCTAAATAAAGAAATAAAATAAAAATTTGTGTGTTTGAAAGATCTATGGTTTGCAGCACACAGAGGTTTTTTTTTTTTCTTTTAAGAAAGCTGATGATGCAGTTTTATGTGCAAGACCAGGCATGACTTTTCATAGAAGGGAGTTTCCAAAAGGCTCCTCAGGGTGCCATGGTGAGTTTCAAGGGAGTTTCTTGCCATGGTTCCTCACCAGTGGGACACGGCCCTTGTCAGGAATTCTGCAATTGCAGCGACTTATTTTTCCTAGGCAAGGTATAAAGATGACTCCTTTGCAGCTATGTTAATCCTGGAGATAACGCCCAGGGGCATCTCTGTTCATCAGGGAAGGGTCCTGTTCCTTCAGCTAGGAGGTCACACACCCAAGAAACCATGGGGTGGCTCACCAGAAATCAGAGATGAGTTAACATAGGATAGAGGGAAGGGTTAATGAATCCTTAGTTTTCACAGGTTCAAAGCCAAACAAGGCCATGTGGATCATGGTTACTTCATGCCTGAGCTGAGAGGTAACTCAGGGTTTCATTCCTTAAAGGGAAGATAAATGCTGTGTCCCCAAACCTTTAACCTGTGAGTAGGAAATTGAGGCAGGGTCTTTCCGCAAAGTGCCTCAGTCCCTCAGGCAAGAAGGGGTGCCCCAGTCCTACAGATAAGGTTTTGAAGAGCAAAGCCCTTCACATCTATGACTCCACAAACACAGGTGTTCTCAGCACGGAGCTCTGGGTGTTAATGGACAGAGGCCGGTGTTTCCAGTTCCCTTCTCCTGTGGACGGGGCGGGCACCATGGCTTCTGACGGTCACGCAGGGACCTGTCCTCAGAAGGGGACCAGGCTGGGTCTAATGCTGTGCTCCCCCACTGACACTTTTAGCAGTTTTTTCTTTGAACTGTCCCACACTTATATTTTGCAATGAGCCTTGCTCAGTAGCTGGCCACTTGTATTCACGTTATCTCTTTGAGTTCCCTTAAACAAACCCGCCAGGTAGCTATGACCCAATTTTATACATGATGGTCCTGAGGATTAGAAAGCCATGTCTGAGGCCACAGGCAAAATGACTTAAAAAGTCAATTAAAATTGGCTGCAAATCCAACAAAAAGCTGTGTCCAAGGCCTCAGCATGCTAAGTGGCACTCGTGTAACTCGGAGCAAAATCAGCCTCTCTTCACAGGGTCCTTCCTGCTACCTGCAGTCAGCACAGCGTCCTGAGAACTTCGCCTGGACATTCTCCTGTAATGCAAGAGCTCCCATAGCGCTGCCAAAGGCCAGCTTTCAGGTGCTGATGAGACCGGAAGTGGGTGGGGCAAAACCTCTTAAAGAATGACAGGGACTTCCCTGGTGGTCCAGTTGTAAGAATCTGCCTTGCAACGCAGGGGATGTGGGTTCAGTCCCTAGCCTGGGAACTAGGATTGCATGTGAAAGAAAGAAAGTGAGGTCGCTCAGTCGTGTCGAACTCTTTGCCACCCCCATGGACCTTGGCCCACCAGGCTCCTCCGTCCATGGAATTTTCCAGGCAAGAAGACTGGAGTGGGCTGCCATTTCCTTCTCCACTTAAGGTGGGGTAACTAAACCAGTGTGCTGAGATGCACATCCTGCATACCGCAACTAAGACTTGAAGTAAATATTTTTTTTTAATCCCTTTGTAACACGGCAAATAGGTGACACACTCAGAGCACCATGACAGTTACACGGCTGGTCATAAAGGTCAAAAAGTGGGTGCTCACCCAGTTCCTGGAAATCCCCACTCTTTCCTGAAAATAGCTGGCACACTCCTCCCACTCATCAGCCTATGAAATAATTGACCCCTACAAACACTGACAGCCCCATACCCTGGTGCTGAGATTGCCTTCCAGGATGGCCAAGGCTCTCTGTGTAGCCTGTTTCCTCCCTGGATTGACCTTCTTTCACTTCACTGTGACTCGCTCTTGAATTCCTGCCTATGTGAAGCCAAGTACCCACACCTGGTGGCCACCCCAGGGACTCGGACATGACCTGGGATGTGACCATCCTCTCTCATCCCACTCTCTTGCCTGCAGCACTGCTGCCATCTCCTCCAGACTCAGAGATCTCTGGAGCATTAAAAGAACACCGTCTTTTCAGGTTGTTCATTGTTTCCTTTGCTGTGCACAAGTTTTCAGTTTGATGGATCCTACCGTCTAGCTTTGTTTTTGGGGCTTGTGCTTTTGGTGTCAAGCTCAAAACCATCCTTGTGGAGACCCATGCCAAAGAATTTTTCTCCTATGCTTTCTTTTAGGAGTTGTGTGGTTTTTGTAAACCCTTAATCTATCTTGCGTTGAATTTTGTATATGATATAAGAGATCTTACTTGGTCAACCAGGGATGAACCTGTGCCCCCTGCATTGAAAGCTAGGGATCTTAACCACTGGATTGCCAGGGAAATTCCAGTTGTAATTGCTAATTTGTCTGTTTCTCCGCTTATTCCTATAAGTTTTCTTTAAGAATTTTAAACTTCCTTTGCTAAGTACATTCTGATTCAGTATTCATATGTATTCTTGATGAACTACAGATTTTATCATTAGGATAAATACCCCTCTCTATTTCTGGTCCTTGTCCTAGAAGTTACTTGATTGTGTGCCATGCTTAGTCACTCAGTCGTGTCTGACCCTTCGTGACCCCATAGACTGTAGCCTGCCAGGCTCCTCTGTCCATGGGGATTCTCCAGGCAAGAACACTGGAGTGGGTTGCCATGCCCTCCTCCAGGGCATCTTCCCAAACCAGGAATCGAACCCAGGTCTCGCACATTACAGGCAGATTCTTTACCATCGAGCCACCAGGAAGCCTGTCAATTAACCAATACAGCCTCCTATGTTTTCTTTAAATTAATGTTTCCATAGCATATCTGTTGTCTCAACAGTGAAGAATCTCCTGAGGTGTAGGAGATGCAGAGACATGGTTTTGATCCCTGGGTGGGGGAGATTCCCTGGAGGAGGGCATGGTAACCCACTCCAGCAGTCTTGCCTGGATGATTCCATAGGGGTCACAAGAGTGTTGGACACGACTGAGCATCTAAACAACAGCAGCAGCATATCTGTTTCCATCCTTTCCTTTTTAACCCATTTCCCTTTATATATGGTATCTCAAGTGGGTTTATTACAGATAACTGATATCTGATTCTTGATGTTTTTTTCTCTCTACTGAAATGATCATCTCTTTCCTTAACATAGTGTCTCGAATCTTAGCATCACAGTTTATCCCGTAAGTCGGATCCAACTTTCCACCTAGTATCATAGACTTCATTGTTTTAGAGCAGCTTTAGAATTGAATGAAAAGCACAGAGTTTTCCCATATGCTTTCAGCAACTCCACAGTCCACAGAGTGGCAAAGAGTCAGACACAACTGAAGCGACTTAGCACACAGGCACACAGCCCTGATCCTGATGCCTGTTGCTGGTTTTCTGTTCAGAAGTGAAGATGTCGGGCGGCGGCGGCGGCGGCGGAGGCGGCTCCGGGCATGCTCGGCCGTAGAGGCTGCGAGCGGGGAGGGTCGCGCTGGTCCCCGGCCGGCCGGAGCGGCGGCGGCGGCGCAGGGCAGCATGAGGGAGCCGCTCGTGTGGGCCCTGCCACCACGACGGCCCCCGCGGTGGCACTTTGATGCGGCCGGAGCACTATGTACAGTGTCGAAGACCTGCTGATCTCCCACGGCTACAAGCTGTCGAGGAAGCTGCCAGCCCCCCGCGAGGATGTCGGCGAGGGGCGCCAGCCCGCGAGGACCGTGGTGCCCGCGGGCCCCGGCCTGCTGAATGGCTGTGACGAAGGCCCCACTGCCCTCCCCCGGGGCGAGGCCTCTCCGGGGACGGGCCTCCTGAGCGACCCCGAGAGCCGCCGCCTCGGGCCGAGGGGCCACGGGAGCGCCCCAGCGCTGCGGCTGCTGCCAGGATCTCCGAGGCTGGTGGCCATTGGAGAGCTGGAAACAGGAGGCAGACGGAAAGGTTCCACCGTCAGCCGGTGCTCGCATGGTCCTCGCAGCCCCTGACCGGCCGCAGCCACGCCTACTGGAGGAGAAGGGAGCAGGAGGCCCGGGAGGACCCAGGGGGCCGAGGCCCGGCCCCCAGCCTGCCCGCGCACCCGAGGGAGGGTCCCTGCGAAGTTGGAGGAAGGTCTGAGCACGTGATGAAGAAGGCTGTTTGGGAAGACGAGCTGCGAATGGCGGGTCCCGCCAGATGGCAGGATGTCAGCGTTGGAAGCTGGAACCAGCCCCCGAGACTTGGGAGGCAGATGTCAGACGGTGTTGGAGAGAAGTTGTTTCAGGACCTGTACCCGTTCATGCTTGGGGAGCACGGGCTGACCTCCCAGAGCAAAGGGAAGTCCCAATCACTGCCTCGAGTCCTTTCCCCCGAGAGCCTGAGTTGTGTGGAGGTCCCTATCCCTTTGAGCGATGGCCATTTACCAGGTGTCCCTAAAGTGCCACTTCAGCCTCCAAATTGTGCTTCCAATTTGGAATCCACCAGGAACCCCGAGAAGGCTGGCACCTCGGCCCCTTTGCCCCGGCCCAGGTTTGGGAGACCCCTCAAGCCCCCGTCTTACGGCTCCCAGCCACACTCCAGGGCCGGAGCAGAAAACGGCAGCTATGCAGACAGCCGGCAGCCGGACCCGGGTGCTGCCCACTTGGCCAGGACGAACAGTGCCAGGCAGGACCTCTATGGGCCTGACCCCGGCCTGGAGCCCCCCGTGTATGTGCCCCCACCCTCGTACAAGTCGCCGCCGCAGCCCGCAGCACACCCCTGCCCGGAGGAGGCGGTACCCAGGCCTGATGGCGGAGGCCGCCGTGTACCACAGCATCTGATGGAGAAGCCCGCTGCCGGCGGTCAGCCTCTTTCTGGCTCCCGGGGAGCTGGGAGTGAGTGGGGGGCCAGCCCATGCTCTCCTGTAGGTGTCCCCCCACAGCCCCACCCCACCACGGCTTACGACGGTTCCATCCTGATAATTCCCTTCAACGACCCGCGGATACTAAACTAGCCCGACCCCATGGATTCTGGGAAGATGTGAAGCTGGATGGTGCGGTCCCTGCCCCTCACCCAAGAAGCCTGCAGCAGGAGGGGGCCGTGTGGGGCACATCAGGGAGGGGGAGGGGTCCTGCCCCTGCTGATCCCAGCCCCCCATGGCTATGGGGCCAGCCCCCCAGGGATAGAGAAGACGGCAGTTCTCCTGACCGAAGAGACCCCTGCATTGTCACACAAAGAAAGCGGCCCGATGTGAGCGGCAGCCCACGCGAATATCCAGAAAGCCTCGTGTCCTCCCCGAGCCCCCAGGGCGAGAGTTCCTGTGAGATGCAGACCCAACTCAGAAAGTTCGAGACAGGGCTGCAGCCCAAGAGAAGCTCAAAGAAAAAAACGAGCGAGACGATCTTTTGTTTGGTTTCCATCCCGGTGAAATCGGAGTCCCAGCCGCCAGGTACGGACACGAACAACAGTGACCTGAAGCGGAGCGCTGCGTTGCAGGAGCAGAGCGGGCTCAGTTTGTCTTCCACCGACCTGGAGCTCCAGGCACTCACCGGCAGCATGGCCCCGAGGACAGAGCTGCCAAGACCAGACCCGGGGGGCCCAGGAGGGGGCCGGCAAGCAGACGGCCTCAGATCCCCCAACCCCGCAAAGCACCGCGCGCTCGCATGGCCTGGCCCATGGCCTGGGCACCACTTCCGAGACCAGCAAACACAAACCAGCTTCGCTCAAGAGCCTCAGAGCCTGCAGCCCCTCCCAGGCGAGAGGACAGGTGGCTCCCCCGACCCCGTGCTGCCTCCAAGGTGTTTGGACCCTGCACCCTTTGAGGTTCAGATGCACATGGCGTTGGCGTCCAGTGACCCGAACCAGAGGCCCGAGACTCATTCCCCGAAAAGTCAAGGGTCCCTCAGCCCGTCCAGCAACAGCGCCTTCTCCGGGTCCTCCCGGTCCAGGAACCAGGTTCCCGCACCGAGGGCCAGCCTGGGTCAGCAGGGCTCGGATGGCCGTGGCCGCCGAGCCAGCCCCGTGTCCAGGGGTGAGGTGATCAAGGGGGAGACCACGGGCCCCTGCAACAGTCGACAGCTGTTCGGGCAGTTCCTCCTGAAGCCCGTGAGCCGCTGGCCCTGGGACTTGATCAGCCAGTTAGAAAGTTTCAACAAGGAGCTTCAGGAGGAGGAAGGAAGCAGTAACAGCAGCAGTGACGGCAGCGGCAGTGAGGACAGCGACACAGAGCTGCCCTGGCGGAGCTGTGCCCACCCGGCACCCCAGCGTCCGGGCCTCCTGAAGGGCCTGGTGCCCGCGGACCCCAGGACCAGGCCGGGCAGAGTCAAGAGCAAGTCCGAGAGCTGGAGCGAGGAGGGGAGGCCTCGGTCCCCCAGGCCCTGGCAGGCAGAAGGCAGAGGCTCCGTGTGGCTGTCCCCCCCCCCGCCCCGGGAGCTGGATTGCTGAAGACGGGGACCGAGAGTTTGAGGACAGGGTGGCCCAGCTGGCAGTCAGCCCAAGGCCTGTGAAATGAGCAATATCTTCTGGGTTGAATGATGCAAAACCCGAGCCCCGACCCGATCCAGCTGAACAGAGGGAGCCCCCGCCCAGCCAGGAGCTCCCTGGCAGTCTCAGAGCTGTGGAGCTGAGTGCAGCCGCCCCTCCGAGGGAGGGTGATGGGGAGCAAGGGAGCACAAGGGCGCCCCTCTCTCTTGCCGGCAAATCCCGAGGCCTGTCTGCACCAGACTTGAGGTCTGTGGGGCTGACGCTGGTGCAGGAGCAGAGTACCAGCCAGCTAGCAGGGTCTCCGGGTGATGCCAATGCCATAGAAATCCCCCCAAATGAGTCCCTTGAAGCCAGGGCCACCAGGATCCTGGGCATCGAGGTGGCTGTGGAGTCCCTGCTGCCAGGCGCCCAGAGGGCAGGGCACCCCGAGCCCGATGGAAGTGCCCTCAGGCCCGAGTCCCCCAGACAGGAGGCAGCAGCCAGCTTGGCCCAGCCCAGTGAGTCCACTGCACCTGCCGACGCCTTCTATGGCAGGAGGAAGTGCGGCTGGACCAAGAGCCCTCTGTTTGTAGGCGAGAGGGACAGCACCCGGCAGGCTCCCCGGGCCTCTGAGCCCGCGGATGTGGACGGGGCCGTCCCCAGCAAGGCTCCTGAACCTCCGCCCAGCCCCCCGGAGTCCCAGCCTTTCCTTCCCAAGGACGTGGAGACAAAGCCACCCTTCAGGTCCACCTTGTTCCACTTTATAGAAAGGACCCCAGACTTGGCATTCTCGGAAAAGAAGCTCCGAAACACTTCCAGAGTGATTGAAAGTTTACAGGAGAAGCTGGTCTCCCCACCCAGGAGGGCAGACCCCGACCGCCTGATGAGGATGAAGGAGGTGAGCTCTGTGTCTCGGATGAGGCTCCTGACGTCCCGGGGCGTGGACTCCACGGAGGAGCCCAAGGCCGAGAGGGATCCCGGGGTGTGGCCAGGAGGCCTAGTGACTCCCAGCGCCGGGCACAAGCTCTCCGACCCCCAAGGTGCTCTGTCACTGGAAGCAGACAGGCATCCAGCAGTGCGAAGGGAGGAGAATGGCGGCCGGGACTTCTGGTGCCCAGGTGAGGAGTCAGGCAGAGGGGCGGGTGTTCAGGTTGCGTTTGACGTCCTGAGAACATCAAAATACCTAGTGGGTGGGTGATGAAACCTGCAGATTCAGAAAAGATCAGATTGACCTTGTGAATGATGGTGCCCAAAGAGTCTTCATTCTACCTAAGAATTATCCAGAAGCTTCTCTTAATAGTAAGACCTTGCAGTGTATTTTCAATGATCCGGTCTTCATAGATAGTATCTATGTAAGTGACTAGATAAAATTACCTATATAAACACCCTTGGGGCCCCTGACTCTGAAGAGGTACATCAGTAAGCTATGCCAGCCAGGGTGTAGGCACCTTGATCGGTCTCCTAGGAGACCAGGGCATTTGTATTCTGTTCTCTCCCCAGAAATAGACATTCTCCCAGATAACTCTCGGACTTCCCAGGTGGTTCTAGTGATAAAGAACCCGCCTGCAAATGCAGGAGACATGAGAGGTGTGAGCTTGATCCCTGAGTCGGGAAGATCCTCTGGAGGAGGACATGGTAACCCACACCAGTATTCTTGCCTGGAGAATCCCATGGACAGAGGAGCCTGGAGGTTCCAGTCCATGGGGTTGCAAAGAGTCGGACATGACTGAAGCGAATGAAGCAAGAAGCGAATAACCTGCATTGCTTGGTTAGCCTAATGAGAAAAGACATACCCGAGTGATTCAATAAACTTCTTGCCCTGGGATTCTTACCGAAAAAAAAAAAAAAAAAAGAAGTGAAGATGTCTGCACTCTCTGAACTTTGACCCCACTCTCTTCGACTCAGGAGAATTGTTGGCCTGTTTGGGTTCTTGTTCCCTATGCTTTAGGTCTGGAAATCTGTAGAGGCTGGAGATGCCATAAGTGTCACTTGACTTGTTTACTTTTCTTTTTTTATAAATGGTTGAGCACAGGATTTAAAAAATTTAATTAGCTAATTCATTAATTTGGGTGTCCTGGACCTTAATCAAGGCAGGCAGAATCTAGTTGCAGCATGTGGAATCTAGTCCCCTGACCAGGGGTGGACCCAGGCCCCCTGCGTTGGGAGCACAGAATCCCAGCCCCAGACCGGTGGGGACGTCCCTCACCTCACCTGTTTTCTGCTCTCCTCAATTATGGTCCTGCATTGCTTGTGCCAGAGTCTGAATCAGTGGTTTCACAGGTTTTGCTTGGTTCCTTAGTTGTGTACTGTAGAAGGGCAGCATACAGTCCCATCATGTCCTTGTTTTTTTTTTATGCTGAATTGTGGGGTCCAAGCTCTTGTCTTTGAGTGTTTGCTCTTTCTTCCTGAGAACTCAGTTCCTTGACTGGGGGCTCTAGTTGGGGGTGATGGGCCTGCCACCACATTTGCTGGAATCATTCTGTATCAACCTTCAGAGACCACTGAACAGTTACAGGGCCTTGGAACGTACTTCAGCTCACATAAAGGACATGGCAACCCACTCCAGTATTTTTGCCTGAAGAATCTTATGGACAGAGGAGCCTGGTGGGCCCGTCCATGGGGTCACAATAAACACTTGTTGAGCAGCTTTTGTGCCAAAAAACACTTGGGCCAGGAGTGATTAAGTGATGAAGTGCCCTTCAACATCCTGCAGCCAAATATGGAGATTGGAAATATGCAAATGTCCTGAATGTAAAAATCAAGCAGAACTCAGAGATGGAGCACTCAGGTCAGAACCCTTTTAAAAGGAAACATCATATTTGTTGGGGAAACAAATGTGTGTTTTTAAGAAGGAGGTAGAATTTGAGGTGCCCCTGAGAGATGGGTTTGGAGACATAGCTGGAGGAGAGATTTTATCCAGGCCTGAGGTCAGTCAGAACAGAGGCAAGAGTGAGAGGAAAGCTGAAGCAAGGTGGAGGAGGAGCCAGGTCCCCGTGTCTCTGAGCTGGAAAGTGCTCAGAGGACCTGGGAGACCCTCAGGGAAGCCCTGAAGGTTCAGAGATGGATTTGCTGGGGAGATGCCATGACAGATGGACAGACTGCACAGCTCAGATGGGTGACAGAAGGCTAAGGAAGTGATTCAGAAAGAACAAGTGGTCCAGCCTCATTGTGGGGTGAAAGTTGTGAAAGAGGAATAAAATCTGACAATCTTTGGAACATCAGTTGAGACCCTCGTGTGGCTTCCTCTAGGGATTATACTTGATTTGAATTAAAGGTGAGTCATTAACACTTTCTAAGTTGCCTATTTGGTAACAAGCAGCACAATAAACAGAATGTTGAAAAATAATCATAATAATCAAGCTTCTAAATTTTGTAAAAAGTCTTTGATTTGGCTTCTGGAGTCTTCAAGGAGGCAATTTCACACTATGCAACTTTCTCCTTGTGTTCCTGGATTTTTCATTTCTTCTTCCGGCAGCATGTTCGGCCACTCAGGGACAGCTGCCTATCTGTTTCTCCTTTGGAAGGCAGCCGATTAGAGCACACCGGCCGCTCCTTCTTTTGCAGTCATACTTTTGTAACCTGCTTACGATTCCGCCATTGCCTGCGGTGAAGAAACGGAGCACACGGAAGGTTTTAGGAAGGCCGCGGTACAAGTCCAAGGCTTTTGAAATCTCTCTAATAAGTTATCTGTTGTCATTTTCTGTTCTTTTATGTCTTTTTCCTCTTTCTTTACCATCTGGAGTAAAGAAGATGGTGGGGTTAGCTGCTAACAATGATTCTGTGGGTTCGACTCAGCTGAGAAAGTGGCGTGACCATGGCAGCACCTTTGTGAACTGACACCTGGGAGACAGGGGCCACGATGGCCCCCCAAGTCCTTTAGAGGGCTAAAGCTGTACCTCCGACTGCTAAGCTAATAAAAGGGAACCTGTGCTTCTCTCCTCAGATTAAGTTCCTTTTCTCCTGTTGGTACTAAGATTTATAAAATAAATTAATTAATAAATAAAGATTTACATCACGTTCTTCCTGTCTCATGAACATATATAACAGTCCTCCCATGGAGGGACGGTTTGTGAGCTAATTAGTCTCTTAAGAGTGAATCAGAAGGGATGGAAGCCTACCTTGAGGTTCTTGATGATCTTTGTAAAGAAAAAAAAAAAAGAAAAGCTGGTAATATCTAGTTCCCAACAGTAAATCTCCTTTATCTAAAATTCCCAAATGAATGGAGAGGGCTGACTCTGACTGACAAATTCTCAATCCATTCAGCCCTGTCATTTCCCAGCGCTTCTTACCTGGAACAGGCAGCAAGAACAAGAGCAATGCAGAGAAGGTAGTAGACCCTCCAGGCTGGCTGGCTTCCCAGCTGAGACTGGGCAGGACGGTGTGCTCGCTCACTTTATAAAGGCTCCAGGTCCGCAGCCATAGGGAGAAGCATTCAGCAGCTGCAATTCCTGTAATATTACAGTGATGACAATATGATGTATTTCCTTAAGCTTCATGCCAAGGTCCCTTACAAAGCAGCCCATGCCCATTCCCCCCAGGAGTTAATTAGAAACCTCAGGGAGACTCAGAGCCTGATGTGAGCACAGGCCTGTTCTGATGCCTCTGAGTTCTGGGTGCTCGTGTAGGCCTGGCTCATGGCTCGCTGTCTGAGACGGGGAAGACCTGCCCACTCCTGAATGCAGTTCTGGTGCATGTAGCTGGGAGCTCACCTGTGCCCACTGTGGTCTTCTAAGCTTTTGCCTTCTTCCTAAAGTCCTGGGAGAGCCTGAGCCCCATCAGTCCGGTCCACGACTGGTGTGTTCAGAATCAGGTGTAAAGTGGGGCTGGGCCACGCCCTGAGCCTGCAGGGATACGCCCGAAATGGAATCAGCTTTTAAGAAGTGTGGGAAGGGAAGGAAAGTGGGCTGCATTCCAGAGACTCTCTACTGTGTCCTTGGCCTGTGATGGAGTGCGGCGTCTCAGGTCAAACACAGCTTATACTT